GTATCTAATAGTTGTGCCGTAAGTAGGGTACAAAAAAAATATATACATATATATAAATAAATAGCAACTGAACCAGCAGCGAAGACAATAACAATATTACTTTCCTGTTTGTTTTGTACTTAGTTTGCACATGTTATATTTGGTTTTGTTCTACCTCGAGAATTTCGTGCATATTTCACTAACCAGGTTATATCATATAAATCGATATACGGAAAAAGTGCGCAGACATGTCGCAACTTATTTTTTCATAGAATGCAACTATAATGTTCAAGGTATATGTATGTAAATGAAAACACTTTTGCTTGATGCCACCTACTTCACAAATATATGCCTACGTATATAGTCAAAAACCCCTAGTTTTTAAACCTTTTTACAAAAAATTAAACAAAATACTTAGACCCATAATAAAAGAAATAAATAATATTAAAAAAAAATTTTAATATACAACGCTTTTATAAATGGACTAAAAAGTAGAAAATAATATTTCTCAGTCCCATAGAATTTGTTTTGATAACTTTTGATTTTGAAATTTTAGCAAAAGTCACTATAAACAATCTATGAAATTGAAAATGAAAAACGTGGAGCGCATGCAATACAAAGCATTCGATTTAATTGACAATAGTCAAACTAATAACGTAGACCTAAAATTTCTACAGCGAAAGTACAACTTTGAAATCGATTTTAAGCGGTCGTTATTCATATACCCACATACATACATACATACATATATTACTTTTCATATCAATTCAAGTGTATTACATGCGCCCCACGCTTTTCATTTTCAATTTCATAGATTGTTTATAATAACTTTTGCTAAAATTTCAAAATCAAAAGTTATCAAAACAAATTCTATGGGACTGAGAAATATTATTTTCTACTTTTTAGTCCATTTATAAAAGCGTTGTATATTAAAAAGTTTTTTTTATATTATTTATTTTCGACTTTTTAGTCCTGTCTGAATAAAATTTTGCAATAGATATTAAAATAATTCAACGATATTAATAGAAAGGTGCACACACATGCATTTACATATGTATGTACATACAAACGAGCATCAATTAATTTTATTTAAAGAAATGGCGTGTCGTCTATTTCCGCTGTAGCAAACGTAGTACATAGGGCGACATCTAGATGTCATCTACCTCGCCCTATTCACTACAGATGTCGCCCTATGCACTATGCTTTTCTATAGGAACTTTTCAAAGCAAAGGTTTTATGGTGTCGGACACACAACATTGAAAGTTTCTGGATCCACAACATTGAAAGTTTCTGGACACACAACATTGCAAGTTGATAAAAGCATTGTAAAATAAGATAAATTTTTATTGCCTAAATACCTGAACCAGAAGGTTCCATTGCCGCTTTTTATTTATCCTTAATACTATATAACATATACTTTTGAAAATTACACCAAAGCTGAATGTGTGCCTCTAGTAGAACCAGAGTTATGAGTATTCGAAATTTAGCATCTGAAAGGAAGGTCAAGAAAAACAAAATCAATTTTTCCGCTGGCACACTTATTTATCGATAGAAACGGCACACACACTTGTATACTGTGTCCATAAATCGGTAATCGGCAGGGTTTATTTCTTGCTTTTTGCCTTTTTACTTTTGTTGCTTGTACTTGACATGAGCAATTACCCCCTTCAAGTTGTAATATCCCTTTTTCAATAGACATAAACTGCAGTTAAGGCTTGGTGGCAATGAACTATTGGTGTACAAAGTTTGAGCTGGTCATCAAGGCGGACGTCTTCAAATTTTAATCAATTACGCAGAACCACAAATAAATCAATAAGTTAATACCAGGTTTTTTATGTGTTTTAGGGTCCCCGTTTTGCTCCATCGCGTCAGGGTTTGCTTCTAACCTCAAAACACTTTGCGAAAGTTTCCCCCGTCGTAGCCAGTTTGAACATATGATTTCACAGAAGATAATTTAGGTAGGCCTTCTTAAGTGAAGTTATTCTAAAATGAAGGCTTTCCTGAAAAAGGGCATAAATTTATGTTTTTTAGCATTACAAATGAATTTCAATATACATCTTAAGTTGCAATAACACATTGTATTTGATATAAACCTTAAGCAAATACTTTAAAGATCTATGAATTTTATAAACTAAAGAAGCTACTTTGAATGAACTTCACCAAAAGGCCTTCTGAAGTAGTCCTCTAAAAGCCCTTTTGGAAGGCCTTCTATGTATAGCGAAAGAAACGGCCCTTCAATTGATGCCACTCCATACAAAAATTAAAGGAGAAGGGCTTGTAGAGTGGAAGGCCTCTTGACTCCAGAAAGGCCTTTCGGAAGGGCTTTTAACTCCGGGTTATAAAATGATGTATATTTAATACAGCCATGCACGACGAACATTTTGGCGAGCACGTTCACAACTCGCATTCGTCTTTTTAATTTGTTCCTGTAGCCCGCAAATCCCACGGATCCCGCATGTGTAATCCCCCAAAAATTGTGCGGGACCCCGATTTTTCGGTACTGGATTCCCTAGATATGACCAGTACTGTATGTATGTATAGATAAATAAAATTGTTTATGTATTTAAGTGAATCAACATTTTTCATTTATGTATAAATTTAGCCAAAACCAAATTTTTGCTAACTATGTTCGTATATACAAAAGGTTTTCATTAATCGGGACCTCATAAGTAAGTTAAAAAAATTATTTAAAAAATACTATATCTACATATATGTGAATGGTTAATTCCTAACGGGAATAAGTCATCATCTTTTTAACCGAGGGTATCAGTTCGTCGGAATATTTTTGTTTTATGTATGTTACCGCATAACCTTGGACCACGTCAACCGAACCACGTCGAAAATTCTTTTTGCATCGGAAAGGTAGTGCCTCAGTGGTGGTCCCATACTAATCTGGTTTAGATCCCATCATAGGATCATGAAATGTATATACATATATATTTATATATATATATTAGACAGCATCACACCCCATACAAAAAAAATCGATACTGCTTTTCCATTGGAATTATAAAATCTATTACATTTTAAGATGTCCGCCAAAATATTTCGGAAAAATGTTAAGATCTAAGTAAAGTGGAGCGATTTGAAAATACCTCCAAAAAGGGAGTTTTTTATGAATAAAAATTGTTTCTTAAAGATGTTTTTTGAAAAAATTCCCTCAAATGACAAAACGGTTTAAGCCTAAAAAATTGTATAAAAATATTTTAAAAAAATTTTAAAAAATTTTAACGGAATCGTAATAATAAGATTTTTGATGCTGTTTTTTAACTTTTTTTCAAAGATTGGTATAAGAAAAACTTGAATAACTGAAACTAAGCTCTTCCGATTTAGGCTTGTGAGATATGATTGGAAAGGTATTTTCTCACCTTTTTTATTTCTTTGCTAATAAGTAGAGTCTGACCGATTAATCGGCATCGGCTAGTATCGGAACAAAATTGAGCATCGGCATCGGCATCGGCCTTTTTCCGCCGATTCTTTGGAATTTCTTTTCAAATGTTCAGGTGAAGCGACAGCCAAGATTAAAAAACATTTGCAGACAGCTCACAAAAATGAGTTTTTTTTGTTGAAGGTGTTTCACGTTTTTTCCATACAAAAGTATGTGCGACAATTTTCTTTTATATGGAGAACACTGCCAGCAAAAAAAAGATTGCCAAAAATTAACGGTATTTTATAGCAGCTTGAAACTTGCACTTCATTATACTAGAATGAAATGGTCTACAAAACTGCATACCAAAATTCTGATTAAAAAGTTTGAAATTTTGGTGAAAATAAGCAGAATTTTTCTAATTTTTGTACAAAGTTAAAAATCTGAATTTATATGGTGTTTGTTGTATACCAGCTAGACTTTTATAAAAAAAAATAATAAACTTTAAATAAAAAAGACAAAATCGGTCAAACTATCGCAATTCTTTTATTTTGTGGACCACTATATGTATGTACATACATACCTAGCATATAAGTTCTTGAGTGCAAAAGAGTGTATTTTAGTACAAAACGAAATGAAATTTTATGTTCCTAAATATTTTTTACTTAGCACCATATAAAAAAGTGTTTTATGTAATGTACATAAATGTGATATATGTACATATATTTTTACACAGCCATATGTATGTATGTACATACATGTGTATGTAATGTTGCATAACAAGCCAATTAATTCAATTATTTCTTTTCTTTTGTTTTTTTTTTTAACTCCGTGAAATGAACTGATTTTATGAATTAATACATTTATTTGTAATTTTTTATGGAATCGGCATCGGCATCGGCATCGGCCGATTCTTTCCCCATAAGCCGATTAATATGTGTGTGTATATATGTACCTTTGTATAATGAAATCAACCTTGGCTGGTGTCATTTCTTTGTAAATAAAATAATAGACTGCAAAGGCAAATAATGTACTCCAAACACACGTATGTGCATATGTACATTAAGGTGCATAACTCTGTATACAAGAAAAGTGGGTTTCCATCCAATTTATTAAATTTTAAGGCTTTAGCTAAAATATTTGAAAAAAAAAAAGATTTACGCCAGCTGGGCCGATTTGAAAATACCTCAAACAATCCGAGTTTTTTATAAATAAAATTAGTTTTTAAAAATATTTGTTGCACAAAAATCACCTCAGCTGATCGAATAGTGCAAGCTTGAAAGGTCTACTTAAAGATTCTTTCAAAAATGTTTCAGCGGAATCAAAATAATGAGATTTTTTGACAGGACTGCAAACCGCTCCAAAAACTGATGCGACACGGTTCAGTGGTTGACGCCAGTTACCGCAGAACTCCACAGGCGAACAGCGATGGCCTACCAACTGTCATTTTGACGAGCAATGTGATTGCAAGTTTTTGTGTGTGGGCACTTTGATGTCTTGAAATAAGCATTTGCCGCATGACGCCACCAGACAACATTCTCTCAATTTAGGTGTTTAAAAACATTTAAATCTTTAAATAACTTGCTGAATAATTTCCTAAAACGTAATCATAAATAATCCAATAGGGAAGAGATTTTTATTTTGATTTAATATAAAAATTTCATCGATGTTACCACCAGCACGCTTTCTTTCGAATGAAAATATGGCTGTCAAACTATCGAATTGCCTGCAATAGATGTCAAGCAATAAGCGCTGACATATATTGCAGCACATGAGAAATAGGCGGTCTCCATTGGAAATATATTTTGTGACATAGTTTTCACGACATCAGTATTTTCCTGTGGAGACAGGGCCTTAAAAATAACTTGTACCAGTACAAGAAGCGGTTCATGAGTATAACTGAACCGCGGTTCGTTCAGTTCAAATGGTTTATTTTTTTTTAATACAACGTTTCACAAAGGCAATTTAAATGAAACGACTAATTTAAAAACCAATTTTTATAGGCACACTTTTATTAGTCTTTAGTAATAAAATACTAATTAATCATTAGTAGGGCTCGGAAACTCATGCACTCCGAATTCAAAAAGTGTACTAAAACAAGTAAAATATCCAATTAAGAATATTTTCCTAATACTTTTTTGTCAGTACAAAAATAAATAACACATGGATTTTAACATGAAAATAACGAAAACAATTTACTTCAAGATACAAAACATATTTATGTATAAAATTATGGCCTTATTCATAAACAAGTAATTTTTAGCAAAAAAAAAGACTTAAAAAAAATATATATATATCTATATATTTCATGATCCAATGATCGGATCTAAACCAGATTAGTATGGGACCACAAAAAAAAAAAAAAATATTACGACGAACTGATAACCTCCTCCTTTTTTGGAAGTCGGCTAAAAATAAAGTAGCTTTAGAAAACGTTTATAAATCGAAAAATTTATGAAAACGTCATTTTATAAAGTTCTTTAAACCTACTTTATTTCTTATGAATAAGGCCATTAGTTTATAATGAAGCGACAGTTTCAATCTTGAGTAAATAGAGACACACAGTGCTAATAGTGGTTCAGATGGATATTTGGTTGGTTTAAGTGGATTGCCACCTTGGTGAAAAGCAACTAGCAAATTATCCATTTCTTTCCACAACTCGTCCAACCTACAGTCATTTGGCGGGTTTAATGAATTTCAGTACGTCATTCAGAGAAATGCACCCAGTGGGAAAATGTAATATATAATAATCGAAAAAATAATCAGTAAAACAGCCCTTTTCACATTCGAAAATGCATTTTTTTCCCCCACCGCGATGTCCTACAAAAGTGGGGCATTCATTTTTTGCGACTTTTTGGATACATTAGAATGCTGATTACATATTAAGCAGTAATTTAATCTAGAACTCTTAAGACATACATTACATTATTTATAACGCATATAATGCATTACTACTTTTCCCACTGGGCAGCTGCACTCTACAACATTCTGGCAGTAAGGCTTAAATCCTTGCGAGGGAAGCATTCGACTGTCTCTTTTAATTCGCAACTGCGACAGAACCTGTTGAAGGGCCCCCACGGGCCAGTACACTATACACACTGCAGT